GACAAAAAAAAAAAAAAAAAAAAAAAAAAAAGCTTTCAAACATTAGGGCACTGGGTGTATCCAGGGCTGGGTTTCTCCATTCTCTCAGGCTGCTAGTTTTAATTGTTACTGTCTGGAAAGAAGAGATACCCCTTTTTCCTCCAACATTTTGCTACTTTCCTCTTCCTCTCTTAAACAAAACAGAAGTCAAAGTCCAACTAGTAGATTTTAATTTAACATGAAGGGATTCTACAGGGCTAAAGTCTTTCACCTCAAAGTCAAGTGACTTGGAGTTGCACTTTGTTAGCTAAGTTAGTAGGCTGCTTGGAATACAAATGAAAGTGCAGATTACAGTTGATTGATTGTGCCTGAAAGCACTAAATTTAAGAGTCTTTTGTATACAAAGGCTTATATCTTGGTTTGTTTGTTTGTTTGTTTACTGGATCTCAACAGATAAATGTGTTAAGTAATATCATTGGCCCATTTGTAGGGACTAAAAAACGAAAATAAAGTTTTAGAATACACATATATAAGGTAAAGCACAAAACTCCTTTATACTCAGTGATGTAGCAAGGGCATGTTAAGGGCAAATAAATATATTTAAATTAATTCAAGCAAATTATCACTGAGTGGGGCAAGTAATGTCAAGGGCAACAAAATTTCAAAAAATTGAGCAGATGAATATTCATCATGACTATGGGGTGTGATGGTGGTGGTGGTGTTCAGGTAGGAGCTGGGAATTTTACTTCTGTCCACCTGCAGGGGTATTTGAATGCATTAGGCAAATCCCAGATTCTTTCGAGGTAGGGTAAATGCAAATAGGTTGAATTGCACCAGGTCTATGAATAATTTTCGTCATAAATAATTTTGCCTTAGATGTATAGATATACCCATTGTCTAAATAAATTCATCTCCTTCTGTCACCCTGAAACAAAAGTCCATTTACCCAATGCCATTGTTCATAAAGTATAAAGCCAGAGGGGATGAGGGATCCATTTTAATGGTAATTCCTATGGATATTGCTTAAATAGAAAACTTTCATGTCACAAATTTACAATTCTAGAATAAACCTCGTGCAGATCTCTTGTCACATGTAACTTTGAAGTCTTGTCAGCACAGCTACCTAATTTATATGAAGCACCCTGGAGTCAGTGTCTCTTTGTAGTGTTATTTGTCAAATGACTCAAGCACTGCTTTAAAGTGAATGTGAGCCTGCTAATCAATCCCTGTGCCCTTACAGAGCATGCTATGCTATGCACAATTTTCTCCTGTATGCATGTGAAATTTTAAATTATATTTGCCTTTGATATCTTTATTTTCCTTTATATTAGAAGTATTGCAGGCAGAAATAAAGCCACTATATGATTAATTTCTGGTATTCTGATAAAAGCAAGTCAGGATTCAGGGGGCATTTGAGTGTGCATGTGGATATTTGTGTCTGTGTTTCTGAGGGCATACAGGTTCTTTGAAATCAGAAATGGGATTGGATTTTGGAAGGACTACTAATACATTCTCATTTAGCATTTATTTAGTAAGTACATGGAACTCTTGTATCATCAGGTTAAATGTCAGGGCTCTTTGTGGAAATGCTCTCAAAGTCCTTGGTCTTGTCTTGTCCTTCCTTCCTTCCTTTCTTTTTCTTTCTTTCTTTCTTTCTTTCTTTCTTTCTTTCTTTCTTTCTTTCTTTCTTTCTTTCTTTCTTTCTTTCTTTCTTCCTTTCTTTCTTTCTTTCTTCCTTCCTTTCTTTCTTTCTTCCTCTCTTTCTTTCTTTCTCTCTTTCTTTCTTCCTCTCCTTCTTTTCTTCCTTCCTTCCTTCCTTCCTTCCTTTCTTTTCTTTCTTTCTTTCTTTCCCTCATCCTCCTCCAACTCCTCCTCCTTCTTTTGTGCCAGAGGGTTCTTAAAACACTGAGCATCCTAACCTTTTTTATTTTTTATTTGGAGACAAGTTCTCACCAAGTTGCTTAGTGCCTCACCAAGTTGCTGAGGTTGGCTTTGAACCTACTATCCTCTTGTCTCAGCCTCCCAAACTGCTGGGATTATAGGTGTGCACCACTGCACCCAGCAATCCTTGGTGTTTCAATATGTTATGCTTCAACCCCTTTCAAAACACCCTCCTTGACTCCTGCAAATATGACTCCAAATTATATTATTTTATTATTAGGATCTTCTAAAATAAGCTGGTACAGATCTCTATTGTAAAACTGATTAAGGTGTCTGAGAAACTTTAAAACAGATGAAAAGGATTATGAAGGATTATAAAAAAGGATAGCCTAGTGTGTATGTTTGAGACAGAGAAATAAATGGAAAACTGAAGCCAGAGTGAGCTACTTATTCATCCATGTGTCCAGGTTTACATACATATATCACATTTCACACTCACGCACATATTCATACACACAAAGCAGGATCAGAGTGGAGAGAGAGCAAGAGTTAGAAGGAATAGATGACTGTCCTGTGGCAGAAAAACCTAAGCATGTTCTTCCTGGATTTTGTGCAATTGATGGTACATTGCAGCCAGGCTATCAAGAAAAAGAGGAAAGCAAGTGAATATCTACCTCCCTCAAAGAAAAAAAATTAAAAGCCCATGAAATGATCTAATGTGTAATTTTGTCAAGACAGCATTTTACTTGGAACCACTATGAGACAAGTCAAAGTAATACAAAAATCAGAGGATTTTAAAATTCCATGAGATCATAAAAGCTATCAAGAATTCTAGAACCTTCCCTCACTTATGAATGCAAAATGCCTAATTGGAATGTCTGAATATGGATGAAAGGAGTTTTATATAAGTGTATAAAATCCTCAAATCTGTGTCAGGATTGTGTAGGCACTACCAAGATTTAAACATTGGTAAATGTTGAAATCATATTTGCCCAACTCCCTGTGGGTGTGTCTCTTCTGGGGCTCCCCACCTACTCACCAACCAGGAGGAGTGTTAGTTTTGACAGTTCTAAGGCTGGTGTCCCTTCTGAGTTGTCTGTACCCCATGCGGACCAAAATCCTCATATATCTTTGGGTCCCTGTCTCCCAACTCAGGACTCAAGAGGGGTAATGTGTGTCCTAAGTAGGTGCCTCTTTTCCTCACCTGCTAGGGTCCTAAAATATACATGATGATAATACCAGTGGGCAGTCATAGTGACCACCCCAACACCCACCCAGCAGTGCAGGGTCCAGTCCCTCAGCAGGATATGCTCACAAGAGAAGAAGTTCAAGTGGGACACTAGTGGTGAGAGTATGTGGAGTATATGACCCAGTTCAGGGGATGCTCAGTGAGGATCTCCCGTCAACAATCCTTGTTACATTTCATCACTATCTAAAAATACATCTTAATAGCCACACAGCCACATGTTTGGAAAGTTAATCAAATTAATATTATCTTTGTTAACAACAACAACAACAACAAAAAGCTAACACAACCACTGTGATTTACTAAGAATGGTCAAAAGACACACAGGCACGCGCAGGTCCATGCTCATGGGCAATTTGAACACCACAGTTATCACAAGTTCAATCATTTAGGTGAAGTAAAATCAGAGGCCTGAGGAGTTCATTTAAAATATGGAGTAGAGAAGGCAGGATTTAATCCAGAGAGCATGAGAGCAGAGATGTGTTCTTCATTTCTCATGCTAACTATTCCCACATGGTCCCTGGACTCAGCTCAACCTAAAAAGTAAGGTAGATACACCATGTAATCTGATTTAGATTGGGAAACACTAAGCCAAATTGTTTTTTCTTTTTCCCCTTTTTTTTAATTGTTATTGTTGGTTGTTCAAAACATTACATAGTTCTTAACATATCATATTTCACACTTTGATTCAAGTGGGTTATGAACTCCCATTTTTACCCCGTATACAGATTGCAGAATCACATCGGTTACACATCCACTGATTTATGTATTGCCATACTAGTGTCTGTTGTATTCTGCTGCCTTTCCTATCCTCTACTATCCCCCCTCCCCTCCCCTCCCCTCCCCTCCCCTCTTCTCTCTCTACCCCATCTACTGTAATTCATTTCTCCCCCTTGTTTTTTTTCCTTTTTTCCCTTTCCCCTCACTTCCTCTTGTATGTAATTTTGTATAACCATGATGGTCTCCTTCCATTTCCATGCAATTTCCCTTCTCTCTCCCTTTCCCTCCCACCTCTCATCCCTGTTTAATGTTAATCTTCTTCTCATGCTCTTCCTCCCTACTCTGTTCTTAGTTACTCTCCTTATATCAAAGAAGACATTTGGCATTTGTTTTTTAGGGATTGGCTGGCTTCACTTAGCATAATCTGCTCTAATGCCATCCATTTCCCTGCAAATTCCATGATTATATTTAGATCTCTTTGGGCACTTTTAAAAGATTAAAAATATTGCATCAAAATATTGTTTGTGTCATGGTTGCCCATCAAGTAATTTCAAAGAGATTGTGTTCAAAATTGTCTTGATCAAATTCTTCTCCACTTCAAGTCTCACTTCTCTGTTTTTGGGTAAATTTCAGCTGGTTGCTGACTATTGTGACCCTAATACTATAATAATGACTTAAATACCTCTAAACAATGTATGTATAGTACTATTTCTTCATTTACATAACATTGAGGCTAATTATGAACCCTAGAGAACAAAAATTTATTCATATTATAACCTTTACTTCTTATAAAATTAAAAGGCTGATATTTCCCTTTTTCATATATTTCAGTTTAAATAATAATATCTCTAAGTGTGATTTTTCCACCTTTGATCACCTTCTGCTCAGCATCTACACCTCATCTTTTCTTGTACCACCCACATCTATTTTCCTCCCTCTACCTGACAGTTACAGCTTTACTTCTTTATGTGTGATTAAGGCTGTTAACAGTAACCTCTTATTCTCCAAACACATGTCTTCCACTCACAGACTGTTTGAAAATCAAATGCTGTGAAATCGAGATGTTTGGTGATCATTTTAGGCATGGGAATCATACATGTTACACAGTAGCTCTTGGGCATTTGCATAGTCTTTGAATAAGTTACATTTGTTCCAAGACCTCCATCTACAGTACCTGTAACTTTCAGCTTTTCAGCCCCAATGGTAATCTCATCTTCATCTGCAGAAAACAGCACCCTGCCATCTTCACTGGCTCTCACTTCAAATCTTTTACACTGAGCTTCCACAGCATCAGCTCCTATAGTCAGAGGAAAGGTTTAAAAATGAAACTGGCATACAGGAAACCATTAACATGTAATTTTGTAGAAAAAGAAAGAGATACATATACCATTTTGTTTGTTCCTTTGGGATGTATGTTTACATCTGAATTAGTACTTTTAGATTGTTATCCTTTACAAGAGTCTATCTAATTTTGAGAATACTGCTGGGCTAGGTTGATTGGTTATACAGAGGACCTCCTATTGTTTGACATTATCTTAATAAGGTCTGTGAGTTTAGCAACTTAAAGACACCCTATATCCGCAAGAAGAGACAACGTCTGCTTCCTTTTGTCTTGCAGGCTGAAGACTTGCTTTACCCCTGATACCTCCGGGATGCTCCATGAACACTTGGAAACCAAATGACTCTCCTGTTTTCCCTCTATAATGCAGACAGCAATACCCATATTGTTACATAATAGGATGCTTCTCAGGCATCATTCAATTGTGAATCTTGAGTCATTTTTCATTTTATAGATTTTACTGTTTATTTTTCACATCCTTTAATAGTATTGAATTTGAATCCATTTTATAGTCAATCTTGCAGTCACTTTACTTTCCCTGGTGTATCTTCTAATCAATCATTTTCTTCACTTATTGAAATATAGTATAGGATTAAGCATGTGTAATTACAAAATGAAATTAGAATTCTATTTCCAAATTATTGGCTAATTTTCCTAATCAGTCTACTCACAAAACACAAAGCCAAGCTCTCATAATTGGGAAATGTGATAATTTAAGAATTAGGAGGGATGGAGCAAGAAGATCTAACTAGGCCTTAAAGATGAACACTGACTGAGGAAGAAGGAATTTGAAATACTGGACGTGGCTCAGTAATTGACATTTCCACAACATAAATTTCTTTGTTTTGGCATAACACATATGGCATATGGATCTTTATCTTTAGATAAGTGTATAAAATCCTCAAATCTGTCTCAGGATCTGAATTAGTACTTTTATCTTCTCTCCTGCTAAGATTTTTAGCATCTCTCCCTTGTCTGTATCAGAGGACTTCTCTGACATAACCCAGCCCAGTCAGGGACAGTCACATCACACTGTGGGCATACTTCTTTTTACTCATCTTTATATACTATCCTGACTTACTACACACACATCTCTAAGAATGTGAAACATGAGTCATCTTTGTCTTTCAAAATATCCTAAAACTTAGAATTGTGTCTGACGTCAAGTGGAGATAAGAAATAAATGTTAGGTAATCCCAGCAGCTCAGGAAGCTGAGATAGGAGGATCACAAGTTCAAAGCCAGCCTCAGCAACAGTGAGGTGCTGAGCAACTCAGTGAGACCCTTTCTCTACATTAAAAAATATAAAAATGGACTTGAGATGTGCCTTGGTGGTCAAGTGCTCCTGAGTTCAATCCGCAGTATCAAAAAGAAAAAAAAAAGGAAATTAATGTTAGTAGGTGAATAAAGACTAGATTCAAACTTTCCCTTTCTTCAGTCCCCAGCCCAGCTGGGTACTACACCTATTGTAGCCTATGGCAGTAGGAAATTATACCTCCCTACTTCCATAAACAAGAGGAAACTTAATTTGGAATCCTGATAATGAGGAAGATAATTTCTCTGACAATAAATGTACATTTTTTTCTTATATTCTAATATTATTGGAAAATTTTAAAAAGATTCAAATGGGGCTATGTTAAGTAAGATAGAACTAGTGTCCTCTTGGGATGTCAAGTTCTAAAGAATATGAATTATAATGTTAAAATCTTTTTTATTTTTAAATAAAGACTTTCCTTGTAAATTTTAATAATAATGTTGAGAAAATCATCATAGGCCTTTTGTCATTTGTCATTGTCATTGCATTTGATTTTAGTGTGTGTGTGCGTGTGTGTGTGCACGTGCGCGCGTGCATGCAGGCATGTGTGCTGAGAATTGAAGTCAGGGCCTCACATATGCTAGGCAAGCACTCTACAACTGAACTACTTCCCCAGCCTGTAAGTTTGTGAATATTATCTCAAGAGTTTGTATATACATACATATATTATACACACACACACACACACATACATACACAAACACACACACATATACCATTATATTTTTTACACTAATGAGGATTGAACTCAGGAATGCTATACTACTGAATTGCAACACCAGTCCTTTTTTTTTTTTTTTGTGACAGGGTATTGCTAAGCTGCTGAGGATGGCTTAGAGCTTGAGATCCTTCTGCCTCACCCTCCTGAATGACTGAGATTACAGGTGTGCACCAATGCACCCAGCAAACTTGTATTCATATAAGTGTTTTCTTCTAATCCTAGCCTAACTTTCCTATATGGGACTTTAGTCTTTGAACCATAGTAACTCAACTGACAGATGTTCAAAAGCTATGCTTGACAACAATGGATTGATGGATGTGAATTTTTGCAGCCTTTGAAGTCTCTATTTAAATCTATCTTCAAGTGACTTAGACATACACAAAACCTCAAATTTCTGAAAGATAGATACTTTACAAATAAAAATTTAACATTGACACTACATTGCTTCCTTCAAATACACTCAACTGCTGAGCTTAATTGATTCACAAAATATAGTTAACTTTAATGGCATGGAAGTGTATTAGACCACTTAACATACTTGTACACATGTATATTATATGTGTGACACATACACACACAGAGAGACAAACATTATATATGTATATACTTATTAGCAGGACTTTTCTTGATGTAATACTTAATGTCTTTAAATAGAAGATAATTTATTAACATAAAATGCTAGATTATGTGTCACATAAACTATTTAAAATAAACTATTAGAAATATAAGTAGAGTAGTATCTGGATATGGCAAAACGAGTTGAGATTTTCATTCATTAAATTTAAATGAGCAAAGGCAAATAAGCAAACTGGAAAATATTTATGCACCCAGAATAGATGAGATGTATCTAAGCCATCAATTAATGCATACGGAATCATCCAATTGAGAAATGGATATAAAAATTAATACTTTGGGCTTCACTTTATTCATTATATTAGCATAATTACAGAAGGCAAAATTGTAAGCAATTAGCAATGCATTGATAGTAAATAAGTATTTTAAATCGGAACATCATTGTGTAATATTGCATTTACAGACAGTGCTTTTCCTTTCTGCAAATGGAAAACACTAAAATATGTACAGGGGGATAGTTAATTGTTGGGAATATTTATGCTGAAAATTAATATATTAGAATTTAAGAAACTGAATTTATTATATTCTAACATGCCGTCTATTTTTACATTCCAAGTGTCGCATATTCTCCAGGCTGTCATTGCAAGATGTTCTCAGGAGCAGTAATGCACAGTACTATCTAAATCAATGATGTTTCTGGTGTAGCAGAAAAAGCAATGTTCTTGGATGACTCTGGGTAAGGAGCTAGGATTCCTTAGCCTGTGGATCATGGGAGATGGGATTATCAAGGCAGTACTGTATTTTCTCAGTCATTTTAAGAATTTAAGTTGCTAACTAAAGTACCAAGATTAAACGCTTTCTTAGAAAAATCTCCAAGGAACTTTATATCAACCACTTCAAAATCATATGAAGGGAAGTCAGTATTAGAATTTGGAAGGAGAATTGGCTGGCAGTTGAGAGAAAAAAAATGCAAGCAAAATAGTATGCCTAAAAGTATTGAAATATTAGATGCATATCCAAATACCTTTAGTACTTTTAATGTTCTGTACACTTTTTTTAAAAAAAGCAAGAAAAACAAGAACAACCACAAAGCTCAATTCTTGTTTTCTTGGAGATGTCTTCTTTGTCTTTTTAGAATATAACTTTGGTTGACAAGGAGAAAGTCTCCAACAACTAAATACTGTCTCTGCATTTTTTACATTAAGTTAGTCGAATACTTGAGCTAGAATTTTTTCTTCAATGAATATACCCAAAGAGCTAGAGCAATATGTTTTCTCTAGGTATTTAGTTACTGGTTCAAAGAAAGCAAAGCAAAGATCACAACAAATTTGCTTGCTTGTCTTTGGTGTGTCTTCCTCAAGTATCTTAGGATGGGTTCTTTCTTCCATTATCACTCTGCACTCTAATTTTATATGCATGTCAATATATCCAAGGTCTTAAGAGTATTAAGAGATTAGAAATCTTAGAAAAACAAGAGTAAAATTAAAAATTCTCTGTTCAGAAATTCCTGATTTAGAATTACCAAGATGGACTCAAAATTAAATAAATAAATAAATAAACAAACAAAATAAACATTTGTCATGAATTTAAATGTAAATATACATTTTACTTATTTAATTTTTTGGTACTAGGGATTGAATTTAAGGGTGCTCAAGCACTGAGCAACATCCCTAGTTTTTTAATTTTTTTTTTAAATTTTAATTTTTTTAATTTTGTGACAGGGTCTCACTAGGTTGCTTACAGCTTCACTAAGATTCTGAGGCTGGCTTTGAACCTTTAGTTCTCTTGCCTCAGTCTTCTGAGTCACTGGGATTACAGAAGTGAGCCACCAAGCTTGGTTTGTTGGCTTTTATTTTGTTTTATACTGTGTGTGCTATTGAAATTGCACACTGGAAGGTAGTCTTTGCATGCCCTGGGGGCAGGGTCAGAGTAAGGGGAAGCAACACTCAGCCAGGCTGGTGGGCTGCTTTACCACCTGACACTGGAATCCTGGGCACTTGCAATCCTCAGAGGATCCTCCAGGCATAAGCCAGCCCCCTCCTCCCTGCAGGGACTGTCTTCCCTTTTGGAATGGAGAAGTCATTCCTCCTCCAACAACTAAGGCAGCTGTATGTTCTCTCAAGTTCTACATATTTTACATTGATCCTCCTACCTCTCTCCCTGCAGTTCCCCACCAACCACAGTGTCTACTAGAACTGACCTTGTACACAGAGATTCCTCAATAAAATCTGTTGTAAACTGAAGGATTCCACTGTTCTTCACCATTTGTACATGTGGATGTTATCTCTCCCTCACCCATATCACTTCTCCTGCTCTCCATCTTCTTTTAAAAAATATTTAAAAATACATAGAAA